GGGGGGGGGGGGGGGTGTTGAGGACAATCCCAAGCCCACTCCCTGGCTGGAGCTTGCCTAACCAGGGAATGCAGCCTATCGGGAGGCACAACTGTGCTCTCAGTGGGGTGCACATGCACCCCCCTACGCATCGCCACTATATCGCCACTACGGATGCATCCACACATGCAAGCACATGTGCTTGCAGCAGCTCAAAGAGAAGCAGTGCAAATTGGAGCCAGGGCTTTTTGCCTCAGTGCATGTGCTCAGACATGAACTTTGTTGTGGAGCAAATTGTGCCACTTGGGGCAAAATAACCCTGCCTGGCTCCTCCTGGATCTACAGCCAGAGGGAGCTCAAGCACACCCCAAGTGGCTCAACTGGACCGCTCCTACCATCACTGCTGCTGCTGCCACCCCCTCTCAGGAGACGCAGAGATTCCCCGCTGCACCACCTGACACTGCATCTGCACTGGATCACTTCCTAATTGTCAGACTGTTCCTACCCTCCCCTGCATCTAATCCTGATTTGTCTTCCTGTCTATTGCTCTGCTGCTGCAAGACTGGCTGGAGGCCTGAGGGGCTTCTGGACAGATCTTCCACAAACAAAGCCCCTCCACTGCTCCAACCACCTTTTACACCTGCCTCAGCAACCTTCCGTGTTTTTTTTCGCCCTTGTGTGGTAACTCCTGTGGTCCACTCCCCATTACGTGGTAGTTGTTGTGTGGCTGAGAGTCAGCTCGAGTTTCCCCAGCCCTTGTGTGAGCTTTCCCCCTCCCTTCGCCCCCCCATTCTCAAAACATAGGCCTCCCGATTCTTTTTTCCTGTGGGGCTGTGGCTCAGTGAGCTTCAACCCCCTTCCTCACTATCCCCTTTCTACCCCCACAACTCCAGCCTGCCCCTACTAGGATTCACCAGCCCTGCAGGATATTTTGTTTTTCTTCATCTTCTCTGCCCTCATGTGAAACGATGGCAGGGCAGGAACCTTCGGGTGGGGGGGAGGGGCAGATGCCCCCACAGAGCTTCCTGCAGCCCCCACTATAGGGGTGGATCCCAGCCAAGCCCCCAAGGGGACACAGGCCTTTGCGGCCTCCACCCTGGAAGCAGAGTCCAACCAACCTCCTCCAGGGAGGAAGAAGCCTGCAACCTCTGCTGCAGGGGCAAGTGGGACTCTGGTAGGGAGCTAACAGGGCCAGGGGGTCACCCCTGGCCAGGCCCTCTCCTCCCATTATCAGGGACCAAGGGCAGTGGGAAGGGCTCCTCTTCAGCCTCCTCCACAGCTGAAGGTAGGAAGGGCAAGGGCCCTGCCCCGACACCTAGACCACTAGCACCTGAGGGGACCAGGTGCACTACACCAGCCAGCATACCCACTCAGCCCATCCCTAGCCCTAGCTCTGGTCCCACCAACATGGCCCCCCAGGGGGGGAACTGCAGCTATGCACAGCAGCTGTGGGGAGACCCAAAGCCTGGACCCTCCGCTGCTGGCTCTTCCAGCTCGGGCAGCGGGGCCCCCTTTCCGGCACTCACCCACAGACCCACAGACATGGGATGAAGTGCCAACTGCCCAGGCAGGACAACCTCCACTTTGAGACCTCGGTGCAGGCCCTGGCTCGGGTAGTGGGGGCCTCCAAGACTGTGGCGGCCTCCCACTTTCATGGCAAGGTGGTCTTTTTCCTTGTCTCAAAGGCCACCGCACAAAAGGTGGTGGAGAGGGGGCTCATGGTAGAGAGCGACTATGTCCCCCTCGAGCCTCTCGACCAGGGTGGTCCTCAGCTCCATCCCTCCCTATATCCCTAATTGGGCCCTACTGCCCCAGCTCCAAACCCTGGGCAGAGTTATCTCCCTGGTGGTGGCCAAGACCCTGGCCTCTGCCACATGCGCTCTTTCCATCGTCAAGTCATGGTCCAGGTGGCAGCGGAAGCATGGCAGGAGGCTGAGGGGTGCCTGGTAATTCCTTATCAGGGGGCCTTGGTAAGGATTTTCTGTATGCTGGGGGACCTGTGGTGCTTCTGGTGCTGTGCCCCAGAACACGCGCATCATGAGTGCCCCATAAGTCAGGCAGGGAGGGCATCTGTGTATCCCACTGGAAAAAGGGGTGCCCCTACCACCCTCAGGCCCCCCCAGTACCCCAGCCACAACTACGAGCTCACCTGTGAGCTCAAGGGACCCCACCCCACAACCAAGTCTAATGGAGTCCTAGGAAGGGCACCAGCAACCAGGGGGAGAGAGGGAGCAGGGCCCCTCTGCCCCTAGTCATACCCCCATTGTGGCTGCCCCACCCCCACAACCCTTACCTTTTCCTGCTGGAGCCTGTCCACCTGAGGACCACCCCATGGCGGAGTGGGTGCAGGTCCCCTCCAGGCATAAAGGCAAGAAGAAAGCCCGGGCACAGCTGAAGCCCTCCAACATGGCTCACCAAAAGCATCTGGGAATATCTCCTTGCTAAAAAGGAGGCTTACACCCAATGGAAAGAAGGGGTCATCACCAGGGAGGGCTATTCTGCAGTTGCTCGGGGATGCAGGGGGATACTTAGGAAGGCCAAGGCAGAGATGGAAGTGGGACTAGCTTCCCAGATTAAGGACAATAAGAAGTCCTTTTTTAAATACATAGGGGGCAAAAAGGTCCCAGGTAAT